TGAACAAACCGTTTGTCCTCAAGTGTTTAGGCATGCTAATATTTACTCTGTAAAATGTACTTCTTACTGGAATATAAATAGTTTCTGGAAAGGCCACTGACAACTTCAAAGCAAAATGCAGTTCTTTCTGGAGGTACACAGAATGTAGGAAAAGGGCAATAGTTATTTCTTTATTATTTTTGGCCAAAAAAAGAGGAAACATTTATCAAGAAATGTCAGTCAGATAGTAAATGTTGTGTTAGTGTGAGCTGTTCCTATTATTATCATTGATGGACAAGACTAAAAAAAGTAATTATTCTCACATGACGATAGGTAACCTTGACATCATGTGTCTTTTAATATTGTAGTGTATACGTTATCAAAAAGTAAAGAATAAAAGAATATTGCCTGTTGAGATTAAGAATAAGAAAACCATGTTGAGCATTTCATTGCACAAATAGGACTATGCGTGCTGGCTCCTGCATGCAATCTCAGCACTTGGGGAAGCTGTGGCAGGAGGATTGCTTGAGGCCAGAAAAAAAAAGAAAAGGAAAAAAACAAGACCAAAACTAATAACAAATTGTATATAATATTATCTTATTGGTTAAAATACTTAAAGTCCTTATGAAAATTGTTATTTTTCCTAAATTTATACTTGGTAATTGATCTGGGTGGTGAGCCAATTACAAGCAGTCAGTACTTTGGAAATGGCCGGGTTACAGAATTCAAGTATGGTGCAAAACTCGGCACAGTTATTCGCAAGTGGAACGGAGAGAAGATGCGTTACTTAAAGTAAATAAATACAGCTTTTCCCCTGAATTATTTCAGAGATCTATTAGCCATAGTACCCCAGGGTGAGTTATTTTCTGGAACTTTCTTATTCAGACAGCTATCAAGGAGTCAGTTTGTAATGAGAAGTGTTCTAGTGCCCCGAACCCTAATCAATCATCGTTCGTATTTAGAGTGTCTGTCTCGAGACACTTTGCCTAAGAACCCTAAACAATCTCGGGGATTTTCCTCTAAGTATGAGATCAATATACTGGATTTGAGACTGATGTTTGCATATCATCATTTGAAACCATGCTTTATCATTCAAACAATCTCATCATTTGTAAAGTATGTACAATATGTCTATATTGTAGAACTCACATATATTAATTAACTTAAAGTATTCAAATATTTATATTATACCAATTAGTATTAAGGCTTTATTTTAATCTAGTTTGACATACTTCATAATGTGATATGGATATTGATCCTTCTGGAGTGCCTCTAAATTAGAATATGCTGAAACGTACAAAAGGGAATTTTTAATAACAAAAATCTTATATATGTGATACCAAAAGAATTCAAGTATTGCATACATGTATATAAAATATGGGCTGTATATGTAGGTTACTCACGTGTGTTTGTTTATGGTATGTGTGCGCATATACATGTGTGTGCGCATATATGTGTGTGTATGTGTGTGTATGTGTGTATATATATATATACACAGAGATACATATATATATATATGTATATGTATATATATATATATATATATATATATATATGTATCTGATAAAATAACCATTTAATTAGAGAGTTTAATCTTCAGATGCCATGCAGAAGGAGATGCACGGTTAAGTTACTCTGAAACTATGGTGAAATAATACATAACTGCATATATTATTTTTCAAAAATAGGAACTGGGGAGAAGGTTGGGGTTTCATGTCTTCTGACAGAGCACTTGTCTTTGTGGATAAACATGACAATCAACGAGGACATGGGGCCGGAGGAGCTTCTATTCTTACCGTCTGGGACGCTAGGTAGAAAACAAAGAGCTCTATTTTTTAAATACAACTTTTAATGATGGTCAGAATATTCTGTGATTCTATGATAATGTAATTATGTAACTTTCAGGCTGTATAAAATGCAGTTGGATTTATGCTTGCTCATCCTTATGGAATTACACGAGTGATGTCAAGCTACCGTTGGGCAAGACATTTTGAAAATGGACAAGTAAGTTTTGGAGTTATTCAAAATATCATGTTTTCGAGAAAAAGGAGGAAATTTTGTCCTAACTTAACATGACCACTATTAATTCTATATGTATTCAACAAATATTTATTAAGTGTAAACCAGATACAGGGCTCTGATTTTAGTAATGTCAATTATATTAAAATAGCAAAATGTATGTTCTCTGTTGTCAAAGACTATGCAAGCTGTTTGAGAAACATGACAAACATTCCCCTAGCCCACAGAAAACAAACAATTAATAATAAGAACCAGACACAGGGAATAAAATATGGACTTCCAACAAGTACCTACCTCAGGGTTGATATGAGGATGATATATGCCAACTCTTCTAGAGAATTTAAAATGTCATCTGCCCATAGTGGGAGCAATATAAATGTTTGTTAAATACTTTTGAAAAAGTTATATGGAATATAAAGCAATGATTCAGCTGAGTTAAATAGGAAAAGTATCTTATAAGAGGAAGGAAATTATATGTACTAAAGAATAGAAATTTATAGAGCATTCCAAGAAAGATAAGAATGAGAAAAATATTTGGGAGCATGGTAAACACATTAATCTGATGAGTAGTCTCAGAAAGAAACAGAGAAATAAGAATGTAAAGATATTTGTAAAGCTAGTAGAAGGTTTTCTTTGAAACTAAAGGGTTCAGAAACAGCATCATAAAGAAACTTCACACTTAAAGCAGAAATTCCTCACTCCTATGAGGCAAACAGATATCTCTCTGGCTTCTTCTAGAAGCCTTTCAGTTTGAGAAGTCCACTACCTTGTATAGCAACTCATTCTATTGTTAAACAGCTTTAATATTTACAAGGTGTGCATTTATATTGAGCCAACTTCTTCTTATTTCTACTAATTGGTCTTATTTCTGATGTTAGGAGCCAGCGGCTACTTTTAGTTTTTCTATTATTATAACATTTTCACTTTGCTAGGACAACTGCATGCTAAAAGCTCTTAATTTTTTTTTGTTTTTCAACATATGACATGATTGTAAGGCCAACACTGTAACCTTCCTATGGTTATTTGGGTTTTTTAAATTAATATTTTTAGCAGTGCCAATCAGAAAAAGATATCAAAAATCTTGACAATTTTATTTAAAATATTTGGAAGTATTGTTTTGTACACTCTAATGATAGATTTTTTGTTGTTTTGATATATATAT